TGTGGCTGTTGCTTTAATTCCGTAGTTGTAGGACTTCCATTCAGCTTGATTTCAGGCAGTTCTGAATGATGGTTGTTCTGTAGTTTAGTTGTAACTTTGATGTGGTTGTGGGAAGACGCGATCTCTGTTTTATTTTTATTGTGCTACTTGAAACTAAATCAAAACTAGGCTTTGATCTTTCATTTTGGGACTGGGTAGATCAGAAACACAACAAGGCCCGTCGGGGGAGTGAGGAGAAGCGCACTTCAGCGAAGCTAGTTCTGGGGTGAGAGCCCTGCCGCCGGCCCCAGCCACTCCGGGTCTGTGCTGACGGGGAGCCCTACGAAGACCAGTGCCCGGCTGCAGTGGGTCTGGCTGCAGTCCCCCCTGCTCCCACGGTCAGCGGAGCCCTCAGAAAATGATCTCTGCCAGGGGAAGTACACACGACCTCTTAGTATTTCACTCACACAGCTATGCAAGGTTGTCTATACAAAAGCCATGTAAAGTATTTCATGGTAGTGTACTTCCAAGGTTAATTTTGACCGTGTATATTAATTGTTTCTTTGCATACTGATGTTTGCATTTAATTCATTCTGGATAATGATAAGAGCATCAAAACAATGATAAGGATCCCTCATTGAGCACTGAATGGATGTGGTGCCTGGGCAGTGTTCTGTGCTCATGGTGCTCCCTCTACAGGCCAGCGCTGGAGAAGCCAGGGTGACCGAAGCTGACCATGCTCACACTGCTGTGCTCACACTGCTGTGCTCACCGTGCCCGCCAGCCAGAGGCAGCCTAGGCCTTGTCTCCTAGTGTGCATGCCCCTGGGCCAGTCACGGAAGCCACTAGGCCCTTATGAGGACATGGGCCTCCCTCTGAGCAGCCATGAGGGTTGGAGAGTTGGAGCAGGGGCATGTAACTCGACTTAAACGCTGGGAGGATCCTGCTGGTTGCTGCACTGGGACTGGCCAGGACAGGGCGAGGCTGGGTGACGGAGGGACAGAGGCACCCAGAGAAGGCGGTTAGAAGCTATTGTAGAAGTCTGGAAGGTGGGGGACATGGAAGATGGGTGGATTCTGCATATATTCTGAGGGTGTAGCTAACAGGATTGGATGTGGGGTGGAGAAAAAGGCAGGAATCAAGGAAGACAGCCAAGGTTTTTGGTCAACTGCAAGATGGAATTTTCATTTACTGAGGAAAAGGAGATGAGGGAAGGAATGCTAGTTTGTGCATGGGTATGAATAAGGGTGGGATGTGGGAGAGCTGCGTGGAGACTTAAAGCAGTTGGGTGCCATGTCTGGGGTTGATGAGGCTGGGTTGTTTGGGGAGGAGGTTAAAGGACAGACCGTTGGCTGGTTTGTCTCACGCAGAACCTGCGCTCTCACAGGTCTCAGTGGGGCCAAGCAGGACGCTAAATGAGTGAGCCGACAGGGAGAGCACAGGCCCATCTTCTCAGAGACCACAAGCGACACACACACACCCTTGCCACCCATGAGTCTGTGGCAGGGAAGCAATTCAGAGTCAGGCTTGTGGGACCCCAGATCCAAACACATTTCACTCAGCCATTTCCTTTGAGAAGGGTTACCAAAACGTAAATGCCATGAGGGCAGGGACCTTGTGTCTGTGTCCTGCCTGACACATTGTGGTGCTCCTGACGACTGAGTGAGTGACAAGCCAACGAATGATGATGCCTTTGGAAGACTGCCTGCTGGACATGTCCTGACACTTGCCGGCCACCGTGCGGGGTTCAGCAGTTGTCAGATCTGGAGTGCTGTCACTTGAATCTGAGAGCGCTCTGACGATGTGTAGGGTGCTCACTCACTTGAACCTGGGAGCTAAGTGGGTATTGTCCTTTTTTTTGGGTTAATCTTCACTCAATATTTTTTCCATTGAATTTTTTAGAGAGAGTGGGAGGGAGGGAGGGGGGAAGAGATAGAGAGAGAAACATTGATTTGAGAGAAACACATTGAATGGTTGCCTTCTGTACATGCCCCTACCAGGGCCAGGGTTTGAACCTGCAACCCAGGTATATGCCCTTGACTCCAGGGAATCGAACCTGCAACTCTTCAGTTCATGGGCTAACGCTCTAACCATTGTGCAACACTGGCCAGGGTAGCTCTCAGTATTCTTGAGTGCCTTGTAGATATGGTGTACTATCAAAATATGATTATTAAGATTATCTGATAGTTTATATTATAATTGAGAAAGCAAATAAACTTTCTCATTAACAGCTCCCAATTACAGTCCGGAGTTTCTTCTCAGTTTGCAGTTATCATAGCCTGGGGGTCTAATTATTAAAATACATATATAAATGCGCACACATGCACACACACACACTAGGATTCTGTAGCAGTCAAGGAAAGAAGACAGAGGGCTGATGGGTAGAGCTTGCTTTTATGCACAGAGTTAAGCATTAAGTTCATTTGTTTCTTTGCCATTTATATGTGAGGATAAATATATATGTACTTCTACACTGTATTACTATCCAGGACAACTGAATTTTACAGGATGTGGAGGTGATTTGCAGGACAAAGCATGAGAAAGAATATCTAGGTACTGTGGCAGTGCTAACATGTAGACTGTTAAATGGCCAGCCGCCTGAGTACGGAAGGAAGAGGAGGAAGCGATCCCTGAGGCTCAGTGTTCTGCACTGGGACTGGCACTGGCTTCAGAAACATAGTGACATAGGCTTGTGTACAGAACAGCGTGCAGCAGCGAGCGTGTCAGCTGACACTGGTGTTAGGTTCATGATCGGGAGGAAGTGGAATAAAACGGCCATTCTCATCCCACCTTGAACATTATGGTAAGCAGAGTCTTTCCAACGGAATTGTGCACTCGGAGCGGTTTTTGTGACTAATAGCTGAAGAGTGTCTTTAAGGAAAGAACCATTCTCTGGTGGCCCATTTTCGCCTCCCTCTGTACTGTCTCCCTAGTGAAAGCTGTGATCTGATGTGGATAGAATGTAACTATCATTGTTTACAATTAACCATTTTTATTGTGTTCTGTTTCTTGCTGCTCAGACTGTGTAACGGCAGCGGTTCTAGCTTCGGATGTCTGTAATACTTGTGCTGAGTCATTTTGAGTTAAGTGAGTGGGGCAAAGTTCTATTTTTAGCCCCTCAAGGCTCAGGAGGGTGAAGGGCGAGCAGTCTTGTGCACCTGTTCGGGTGGTGCCCACCTAGAGAGACTCAGTTCCACTTTGAATACTCTCGGCCACTGAATAAATACAGGGTTGCTAGAAAATACACTCACTTTTTTTGTACATTGTAAAAGATTTTTCTTTCTACTTGTAAGAAATGGAGAATTTTTAAAGTTTAAAAGTTTACATAAGTAAAAGATTGTTTGCTTGTGCCTGTTTCCAACTTTCATTTTTCTTTAAAGGTTGGCTCTTATTCTTATCCTCCCAATTTCAGTCTCTTCCATGCATTCTCCTTCAGTTTCACTGTTTCTGCTTAGAGACTAATACCTTGTCCGTGGCCTAAAAGGAGAACAAAGCTGACGGTGTTGGCCTGCGTTCTGTGCTGCTGCTGGCTGCAGCCGTGCGTGCTCATTTAAGAAAGAAAAACCACCTTGTTTTCTTTAGACCGTGAGCTCACGAGGACTCGAACATTTTGTGATTTTCCTTTTTTTTTTTTAATCTTTTTTTTTTTAATCCTCACCCGAGGACATTTTTCCATTTTTTGTTCAGATAGAGTGGGAGGGAGAGAGAGAGAGAAACATTGACACGAAAGGGACACATTGAGTGGTTGTCACCCACACGACCCATCCAAGGCTGGGGACAAATTGCAACCGAGGTACGTGCTCTTAGCGAGAACCGAACCCGGGTCTCTCTGGACCGCAGGCCGATGCTCTACCCGCTGAACCAAACTGTCCAGGGCTGATTTTTCTTTTTTAAATAACTGATACGTCTTTCTTTCTTCTCCTTCCCATCCTTCCTCCCTCCCTCCCTCCCTTCCTTCCTTCTTGATTTGAGAGAGAGAATGGGGGAGGGAGAGAGACAAACATGGATCAGTGGCCTCCTGCACACCCCTTGACCGGGGATCGACCCTGTAGCCTGGGTATGTGCCCTGGGTATGAATCAAACCCTCCGCCTTCCGGTGTTCGGGATGATGCTCCAACCAACTGGGCACACCAGTCAGGGCTGCAATTTTTCTTCCCTTTTTTTTTTTTAAATCCTCACCTGAGGATAATTTTTCATTTATTTTCAGACAGAGTGGGAGGGAAGAAGGGAGGGGGAGAGAAAGAGAGAGAAACATTGATGTGGGAGAGACATATTGATTGGTTGCCTCCCACAGGACCCTAACCAGGGTGGGGGATCAAACCACAACCGAAGTATGTGCCCTTGACTGGAATTGAACCTGAGACTTTTTGGTCCACAGGCCAACGCTCTTAACTGTTGAGCCAAACTGGCTAGGGCTGTGATTTTTCTTTATATTGAGTTTAGTACAAGACCTTGCTGATAGGTGTTGAACAGAGATGCTGACTTTTAGCAGGATGATGGGCATTTAGGTCCTCAGGCTTCTCCATCAGTACGATGCTGTGCCCCTGGGAAGACGGAATGATCTTATTGTAAATGCCATTGAATATAATTAATAAAATATGTATGCTAAATTAGATCTATAAATGTATAATTTTCAAACTGGGTTCATTTAAATATTGATAATTCAATGTATTTCTTTTGGAACATGAAAAATGAATTTTTAAAAAATATTTTTTCTTTATTGATTTTGGAGCAAGAGGAAGGGAGAAGGAGAGAGAGATAGAAACATCAATGAGAGAGAACATTGATTGGCTGCCTCCACACCCCCCACTGGGGATCAGGCCCACAACCTGGGCATGTGCCCTGACCGGGAATCGAACCAGGGACCTCTTGGTGCAGGGGTCAACACTCAACCAGTGAGCCACACCGGCTGGGCAGAAAATTAATTTCTTTTTAAACCTTTATATTAAAGCAAAAGAATACAAATACTTGATCTTTATAGACCTAGCATTGAACTAATGTGTATTTTTATTCTCATGCAGAGCTCTGGAATTGAGACTTTAGTGGAGGAGCTCTGCTCCCGACTGAAAGACCTGCAGAGTAAACAAGGTGAGGGGGCTGCTTCCAGAGGACAGTGCACAGCCGGGCGGGGGTGGGGTGCTCAGCACTGAGCACAGCCGGGCATGGAGGGGGTGCTCAGCACTGAGCACAGCCGGGCATGGAGGGGGTGCTCAGCACTGAGCACAGCCGGGCATGGAGGGGGTGCTCAGCACTGAGCACAGCCGGGCATGGAGGGGGTGCTCAGCACTGAGCACAGCCGGGCATGGGGGTGTTGCTCAGCACTGAGCACAGCAAGAGCAATGGTGTGGGGTCTTGTGTTCATTGTGTGTCTCCAGGCCAGCGTGGGTCAGCTCTCCACAGTCACCTGTAGGTGGTCCCCTGCTGTCAGAGTGCCTTAACCCACAGGTGCCCCCAGAAAGCAGGAGCAGGTTCATTTTGTCTTCAAATTGAAACTTAGAGATGGGAGCAATACTTCCCTTTACCATCCTTGTTCCCATTAATATCTGCCTGTTGACATCAAGGCCTTCAAAGGTGTCAGCAGTAATCATCTCAGGCTTGCAAGGAGCTTCTGCTCCGACTCTCGGATTTTTCAGGGAAGGCAGGCTTGACAATTTCATTGAGTCATTTTGACTCGTGAACCCCCGTCACTACTTTCCCAACTTTCCTGTAAGCCGTTAGAGTGAGAACTGTGTCCTAAGATTGAGGGTCTCTTGTTCCTTTGTCCTCTTCATGCTCCTTGTGCCACCCACCAAGTTTTGAGACTTCCTATTAAAGGGAACAGTTTGTTTGTTTTTAATCCCAGGCTGTATCATGAGCTAAGCTAAGGGTACAGCCCTTTGTCACCTAGATGTTAAGTAACGGATTGCGCACTATGATTAAGACTTTTCTTTGCAGATTAGTATTATCAAGGTGAATCATTATAAAAGCCCATGAGTGCAGAATTTTGTGAGAAAATATTTTGGAATCTAAACAGATGTTCTTTCCTTCTGGTGTAATTAATTAGTATAGAGGGGACATCAGTCTCCCCGTTGAGTGTCTGGAGCACCGGCTCAGTGACGAGATGAGCAGGTCTCACCTCTCAGCCAGTGTGCATGTGGTTGCGCCAGAGAATTCTCTCTGGCACGCTGAAGAAATAGATTTTTATTAAAAACACAAACTGCTATAGAGTTACTTTTTAAGTCACAAAAGCCTGTATAATTTGTATTAAAGTTACTTGAGAAATTTTTTAAATCATGACAAATCTTTCTAAATGTTTATTTCATAACAGAAGAGAAGATTCACAAAAAGTTAGAGGGGTGTCCTTCTCCAGAGGCAGAATTATCCCCTACAGCAAAGGATCAAGTGGAAATGTATGTAAGATTGTATTCAGTGACGAAGCCTGCGTTTGTTCAAATCGATTACGAATTGCTGCGTGGTTCACAGTGTGTGTTCGTTGCCTTGTGTGCAGTTTTGTATTTTATAATTCAGGAAACGTCTATGAGCATGTACTTGTGCACTTGACACAGAATTCAAAGGTGAGTAAGATGGTTCTGTCCTTAACACACATATTGAATCAATACTTGTGCAGTGGATGAATGAAGCGAGGTTAGTGTTTACAGACCACTCACGTCCTGTGCCCACTGACATCACACCCGTCCTTCGAAACAGCTGGAGGAAGGTCTGCTCGTCCTCGTCTCACACACAGGACACCGGCTCCCACTGCTCAGTCCACAGGGCACAGGGCACGTTCCTGGCCTTGTCGAGCTTGTTTGCTAACGATGCTTTTAGTCTTTTCCTTGTAAATGGTATTAAAATCAGCTGTACTACAAGCAGACTTCTTTATTATACCTTTTATTTGAATCTTCTGAACTTCTAAAACTTAAGGAAAAAGTAGCATTTGGTTGGTTTGTGTAAACCTGCATTGTCCACCATGGTAGCCACAAGCCGTGTGTGGCTGCTGAGCCCTTGAAACGTGGCCACTTCAAAATGAGATGTGCTGTGAATGAATATTCTCACCGATCTCATAGACTTAGTATAAAAAATGTAAACTATTTTATTAATAACTTGTAAAATCAGTTACATGTTGAAATGATATCATGGTTATAGTTGGTTAAGTAAAATATATTACTGAAGTTAATTTCACCTGTTTTCTTTTATGCATTTAGTGTGACGTAGAACTTTAATAATTACATGTGAGGCACACAGTACATTTCTGTGAGACAGCTCTGGCGCAGACTGACAAGGAAGGTCAGCTCTCGACCCTTCGAGAGCATGGCCCCTCTTCGCTTCACATGTGACCTTTACTGTCGTCAGAGCGACAGCCCCTTCATAGCCAATCTGACTCCAGATTCTTCCTTTGGCAGTCTGTCTTGCTGTGAAATCTTCCATGGTGACCAGTTTCCCAGCAAATCGAGAGCTCTTCCCTCTTGTTTCCATGCCCTCTAAACGCAGCCTCCCTGACCCGCCTACTCCGCTCTGCTGTGGGTGCTGGTCTCATCCGGCTCCAGGTCTGGAGCACATGTGTGTGGCCCACGCAGGCCCCTGCACCTTGCTGCTGGTCCTCACTGAACTGCTGTACTTCTGGGCCTTCAAGGCTTGCTTGTGGTCCACTTTCTGTCATTGTTCTCGGTCTGGCTAGCATCTTCTTTTCTGAACACTTCCTACCATAATCCCTACTAATTCTAAGGGTCTTTTTAATGCCCGGCATTGTGCTGGCCTCCTGAGAAGAAATAACGGTAACAGCAATAATCACTTAAGAAGGTGCTGTTATGACTCATTTCACATGTTAATTCCTTTACTCCTCACAACTCTGAGGTAGATATGTTATTACTCCCATTTTGTAGGTCAGGAAACCAAGCCACAGAGAGGTTAAGTAACTTGCCTGAGGTCGCACAGCTGGGAAGTGACAGGCAGGATTCGAATCAGGAAGTGTGGCTTCAGAGTTCACGCTCTCAGCTGCTGGCTGTGCAGCTTCTCAGCTCCGTCTGCTCCCAGCACGCAGAGCCTGTGCGGTGAGTCAGCACCGCCTGGCAGCGGAGGGTGCGGCCACACCCAGAAATACCTGGCATAGGCACAGCATGGTCAGGGACTGAGCTGCGAATAAGTTCAGACAGCTCTTACCAAAAGATAACATTTTCCCCGCTACATTGTATTTTCCCCTTACGGCTTCTTATTTAAAATTCAGACTTTGAAGATAAAAACTTATTTTACATATCTTCTTAATATTCTTATAATGCTTATCTCTCTGCTTGGTACATTGCACCAAAGTAAAGGATATTTACTGTATTATTAAGTGTTTAAAAGTTGATAATTCATGGATAATGTAAGCGTTGACTATAAAAGTTGAACTAACCCATTTTTCTGATTGGTAATGTTGTTTTACTGTATCTAAGACGTCTAAGTGCCCACTTTTGGACTCTACACTGTTTTTCAGGTACTATGAAGCATTTCCACCACTTTCAGAGAAACCAGTTTGCCTGCAAGAGATCATGACTGTGTGGAACAAGTCTAAAGTCTGCTCTTCCTCCGGCTCCTCGTCGTCGTCCACAGCCCCGCCGGCCAGCACAGACACGTCGTCTCCCAAGGACTGCAACAGTGAAGGCGAAGCCAGCAAGGAACGAAGCGATGAAGTACCCACCGCTGCACACGAGAAAGCCCCGAGCAGAAGTAAAAATGAGAAGGAGAACAAATTTGGTAATGGCACAATTGAAGAAAAGCCTGCTTTGTACAAAAAGCAAATCCGACATAAACCTGAAGGAAAGATTCGCCCTCGCTCGTGGTCTTCCGGCTCTAGTGAAGCAGGTTCAAGTTCGAGCGGTAATCAGGGAGAATTCAAAGCATCCATGAAGTGTGTGAAAGTAAGACACAAGACACGAGAAATCCGAAACAAAAAAGGGCGGAATGGGCAGAGCAGGCTTTCACTGAAGCATGGCGAAAGGGCGGAGAGGAATACCCACGTGGGCGGCGGCAGCAGCAGCAGCGGCTCCGGCAGGCAGCTGTGCAGACGGGCTAAAAGACCGTTAAAGGAGGTGGGCAGGAGAGACACGGATGGCACGGAGGGCAGAGACCTGTACCTAGACAGCAGAAACGATAAGGAGTATAAGGAGGAGCCACTGTGGTACACTGAACCAATTGCAGAATATTTTGTTCCTTTGAGCAGGAAAAGTAAACTTGAGACCACGTACCGAAACAGACAAGATGCGCGGGATCCGACAGGAGAGGCAGTAGAAGAATTGTCTGACTCAGTGCACAGTCTTTGTATCAGCAACAGTAATATTCATAAAACATACCTCGCAGCAGGTACTTTCATTGATGGTCATTTTGTAGAAATGCCTGCAGTTATAAATGAGGAGATTGACCTCACTGGGACCTCATTCTGTTCTCTCCCAGAGGACAACAAATACCTGGATGATATTCATCTGTCAGAATTAACACACTTCTATGAAGTGGATATTGATCAATCCATGTTGGATCCTGGTGCCTCAGAAACAATGCAAGGAGAAAGTCGGATTTTAAATATGATTCGACAAAAAAGCAAAGATAACACAGATTTTGAGGCAGAATGTTGCATAGTGTTAGATGGAATGGAGTTGCAAGGGGAACGTGCAATATGGACAGATTCCACCAGCTCTGCAGGCGCCGAGGGCCTGTTTCTGCAAGACCTGGGCAACCTGGCTCAGTTTTGGGAGTGCTGCTCGTCTAGCTCTGGCGATGCCGACGGAGAGAGTTTCGGGGGAGACTCTCCGATCAGACTCTCGCCCATCTTAGACGGCACGGCATTCGAGCCGCCTGTGCTCGCCGGCAGCCAGGAGCTCTTCTCAGATGTGAATGAAGGGTCTGGCGTCAGCTCTCATTTTTCAGGGTTTGAAGTGCAATGCGGTGATTCTGTTTTACCATTTTCTTTTGAAACACTCACCTTGGGAAATGAAAATACAGATTCTAGTGCGAATATGCTTGGGAAAACACAGTCCAGATTGCTAATATGGACCAGAAATAGTGCCTTTGAAGAAAATGAACACTGTTCTAATCTTTCAACAAGAACCTGTAGTCCGTGGTCCCATTCAGAAGAAACACGTTCAGACAATGAGACTTTAAGTATTCAGTTTGAAGAATCCACGCAGTTCAATGCAGAAGATATTAATTATGTAGTTCCTAGAGTCTCGTCAAATTATGTAGATGAAGAACTTCTAGATTTTTTGCAAGGTGAAACTTGCCAACAAAACAGTAGAACTTTAGGAGAAATTCCTACATTGGCTTTCCAAAAAAAATCTAAACTAGAATCTGTCTGTGGTATCCAGCTAGAACAAAAAACAGAAAACAAAAGCTTTGAGACTATACAGGTGTGTCGTGAAAGCAGTCCACACGGAGATGGCTACAGCTCAGGGGTTATTAAAGACATTTGGACAAAGATGGCCGATGGAAATGCTATAGCTCGGGTAGACGTGGAAAGAGTTGCAGATGAGCTGTTTTCAACAGATGTAAATAACTACTGCTGCTGTTTGGATGCGGAAGCTAAGATGGAGCCCCTCCAGGAGCCTAACAAGGCAGTGCAGAGGTCGGAGTACCGTCTGTGGGAGGGGCAGAAAGAGAACCTGGAGAAAAGGGCTTTTGTTTCGAATGAGCTCTCCAAGGTGGATGGTGGTGATTATACCACACCCTCTAAGCCTTGGGATGTAGCCCAGGAGAGAGAGAACGCGTTCATTCTCGGAGGCGTGTATGGAGAACTGAAAACCTTTAGTAGCGATGGGGAGTGGGCAGTTGTGCCACCCAGCCACACAAAAGGAAGTTTGTTGCAATGCGCGGCCCCCGACGTAGTGACCATAGCTGGTACAGATGTCTTCATGACCCCGGGACACAGCTTCGCTCCAGGTCACAGGCAGCTGTGGAAGCCCTTTGTGTCACTGGAACAGAATGCCCAGCCGAAGAGTGGGGAAAATGGGTTAAATAAGGGGTTTTCTTTTGTCTTCCATGAAGACTTACTAGGAGCTTGTGGTAACTTTCAAGTTGAAGAGCCTGGACTTGAATATTCATTCTCTTCCTTCGACCTAAACAATCCATTTTCACAAGTTCTTCACGTGGAATGTTCATTTGAACCCGAAGGGATTGCATCTTTCAGCCCTGGTTTTAAACCGAAGTCAATCCTCTGCTCCGATTCAGACAGTGAAGTGTTTCACCCCAGGATCTGCGGTGTGGACAGAACACAGTACAGGGCTATTCGGATCTCCCCTAGGACCCACTTCCGCCCAATCTCTGCATCTGAACTGTCCCCCGGAGGAGGAAGCGAGTCAGAGTTTGAATCTGAGAAAGATGAAGCGAATATTCCTGTTCCTCCTCAGGCGGACGCGTTTGAAGATCCACAGGCAGATCTCAAACCCCTGGAAGAAGATGCAGAGAAGGAAGGCCATTACTATGGGAAATCAGAGCTGGAGTCTGGGAAATTCCTTCCCAGGTTGAAGAAATCTGGGATGGAAAAGAGCGCTCAGACATCACTGGATTCCCAGGAGGAGGCGGCAGGGGTTCTGCCAGCAGCAAAGCAGAATCAGTGTTTGGAATGTAGTATGAGTGAACCTTTGGAAATCAGTGTAGAGAGCTCAGAAGCTAATTGTAAAATAATGGCACAATGTGAGGAAGAAATTAATAATTTTTGCAGTTGCAAAGCAGGTTGTCAGTTCCCTGCCTATGAAGATAATCCAGTTTCTTCTGGCCCGCTGGAGGAGGTATGTGTCTGTGTGTTGGTGTTTGATAAAAGGATTTGGTCAGATGCGAATCCAAGAACAGCCATCGCAGGCAAGGAAAGACGGGGTTAAATTCCTGGGAAATGAGCTGAATTGTCTTAGAAAGTCATCATTCTTATGATTTTACATGAGGACTTAAAATGGACTTGATACTTATAAACTTGAACTAGACATTTTCTGCAGAGAATAGACGTTTTTAAATAACAGGATATAAGTGTTGTCTCAATATGCATGTATTATGCTTACAGCAGAACCTGATGATAATCATTACAGCTTTCACAGTTGATGAGTTAGGGGGCGGCTCTTTCCTCTTTAAAAGGTCCTTTTGTTGGTGGCTTTGAGAACAGGTGTTAGATCTGTGAGGTCAAACTGGACCTGGGTTCAGCAACCTCGGTACTTGAGTTCTGGCTGGGAGAGGGTTCAGAGCCAAGACTCAGACTATAAGAGGACATTTATTTAGAAAATCTTCTACAGAGGTAGAAGTAATTCATAGAAGAAATGGGCTTAGGAAACAGGTTATAGGGGCAAAGGAAGGGCCCTTGGAGCTTAGTGGGGAAGGTAAAGGTGACTCACCTGGAGGGGGGGGGGGGAGAGAGGCCGAGAGCAGGGAGAGCGTGGGGTCCTCCATCCTAGGGGTCCTAAGGGGAGACTTTAGGGGAGCTCCCAGGGGAAGTTCTCAGTGGAAGATTCAGCAGTTTTCCAGGTGAGTCCTTCCAGGGCTGGTCTCCACTGATTGATTGGTCGGCGCCAGGCAGGGGGTCGTTAGCCAGTGCAGCTGGTCCTGAGGTCCGCCCTGGTGTCCTTTTCTGGGCCTGGAACTGAAGTACAGCTGAGGCCCAGATGCGGTATCTCTAGGGAGGAAAGGTCAGGGGTCCAAACTGTATGACCATTGATATGAAAGGTCGGGGTCCCAACCATATGACCAGCAGTATGGTAGGGGAAGAAAGGTCACCCTGGGGATGAGGTCCCTCCCTACAGTTATCTGTTGCTAGGCACCGGGGGCTTTCTGCCCTGGTGACATTCTGTACTTGGCCCATGTCCTTGCTCTGTTCCTGGCTGGCTCACTGCCTGCCGCACGTCGCTGTTCAGCATCAGCAGCAAGCCCATCTGGCTGCCTCCGAGACACAGATCAGTTGCATCTGGATAGAGCGCTTTGCGGTCCGTTGTGGTGCCTGTGATGCCGACCTGAGGTGCAGGTGCGACAGCAGCGGCAGGGCCTGTGCGAATGTCCTCGACTCACACACCCTCTTCCTGAAGCTGTAGGAATTACTGTCGGGTCTGACACGTGAGAGTGATGGCTTTGTTAGTGGGAGTCCTTGTGCCTTTTGACTGTTCCTAAGGAGTGGTTGGAGGTTCAGTGGATCGTACAAGAAATAACCCGTAAAGCAGCAATCTGTCTCACACGAACGCTGGTGATCTGCTTGCTCTCCAGCCATCGTCTGCTGCGGCACCCTGGCCGTTCCCGGGGACGGCACATTGCAGACACAGTCGGCGCACTGCCGGTTTGACCCAGTGGTTGGAGCATCGGCCCGCAGACCGAAGAGTCTCGGGTTTGATTCTGGTCTAGGGCACGTACCTCGGTTGCAGTTCTGTCCCCAGCTCTGGTCGGGTCGTTCAGGAGACAGCCAGGCGATGTGCCTCTCTCACATCGATGTTTCTCTCTCTTTCTCCCTCTCTCCCCCGCCCTCCCACTTAGCTGAAGGTAAATGGAAAATTATCCTCGGGTGAGGATTAAAAAAAGAGAGAGGGTTGGAGGTGGTTAGAAGTCATGACACCTGTGGCTGGAGAGTGTCGCCCTGCCTCCCATTTGCCTCCGCACACAGCACCCACCTCTGCACCCACCTCTGCACATCCTGTCAGTGCCCTGCGCCACCCCTCTCGCCTGCCCTGCGCCACCCCTCCCTGCGTCAGGAGCAGCTTCTCCCTTCTCATTTTTCATGCATCTTATGCCTTTTTTTTTTTTTTTTTTTTAAATAATATGTTTGTATTGATTTCAGAGAGAGGAAGGGAGAGGGAGAGATAGAAACATGAATGGGCTGCCTCCTGCACGCCCCCACCGGGGACTGAGCCTGCAACCTGGGCACCTGCCTCAACTGGGAGTAGAACCGGTGACCTCCTGGTGTATGGGACATTGCTCAACCAACTGAGCCGCACTGGCCCAGGCTCATGCCTTTTTTATTGTGTTTTCCAATTTTTATGAGTCACTTACGTACTTTCTCTCATTAGATTATAAGCTCTTTATGGATGCAGACCATGTCTTCCTCATTGGTCGGGTGCGGGCCTGGGTGCGGGACTGGGTGCAGGTGCAAGTAGGAAGCCTCACAGGTGACAGGAACCACTGCTCTGATTAGCTCACCTGAAGGTACTTAGAGACATGAATTGAATCACATTGAAACACTGAATTAACTGCTGAAAACAAAAAGCTATGTTGCTAGTCTTTATCTGTTTGTTTATTGCCCCACTTTTTATTCTTAAATATTCCTTTATGTACTTTGTATCTCACCTGGTTCCAGGTTGGGAAGAAAGAACAAGAGGGAAGAAGCGCGATTCTCCATCATGCCACTACCATGTTCCTTCGCTTGCTAGTATGTTGATGAATTTATGTGCTATCAGAATTCGGGTTGTCTGGAAGCTTTAGCCACCAGTACAGTCCTCAGAGGACATTGCGGGGTTGCCTGATAGTCTAGATGTTGTTGGTACCATCAACCCTCGTTTCTCTGCAGCGTCACCAGGGTTTAGAGCCTGTCGGAGTTCACTCCATGGCTTTGTGAGGTGTGGAGAGAGTGGCCTGAAGGGGCGGTCTGGGCTCAGTCTGGGACCGGGATCTGTGCCTTCCACTCTCTCACGTTGCCTGTTCAGTCTTGGGAGCTCCTGCCGAGGCCTCCCCCGTCCTGAGTGAGGACAGCCTTCACGGAGGGCCGCCGGGGCCCATGTGGAAGGCCACCAGGTGCCCACCTGTGTGAGAGCAGGTGGACGAAACAGGCAGGATTCCTAATCTGATCGGTGCCCGGAGCCTGAGCTGATTCTTTTCAAAAGCTCAGTTCAGCAAACATTTATCAAATGCTTGTCACCGGCCCATTGCTACATTAGGTGCCCTGGATGAACGGGCAGTGTCCTCGTTTGTCCTCCAGGAGCACAGTCTAGTCCACTTGTGAGCAGACCACCGGTCTGACTGCAGTGGGTGATTCGTCTGTGGTTCAGAACCAGACCTTCCCGGAGGGACGCTCAGTCTCGGCTCCTCCCAGCAGCAGCCCGAGCGTGGCTCTGGTCCCCAGCAAGGACGTTCGCTGCAGAAGCCAGTCTGCTCACGTCTCTGCCTCCTGTTTTCTCTCTGAAGTGACGCTTTATCGTGACCACTCTTTCTTTTTGTTCTCCGCACACTGTTCCATTGTGTGGATGTGCCGTGACTTACCCAGCGCGCCCCTTGTCCTCTGGGTGATTCTAGGCGACGTGTGGGCGGCGTGGTGGAGGGGAGCAGAGCACGCTGTGGAGCCCGGAGGAGAGCCCTCCGAGCTGAGCCCAGGAGGGCTGTCCGAACATGCGTGTGGGCTCGGGCAGGGGCCCGCCAGGCCGGGGGTCAGCACAAGCGAAGGTGAAGAGGCTTGAAACGAACTCCTCGGGCTAGCAGGCCGCTGCCAGCAGTGCCCTGCGTCGTGGCTGCTGAGGGCCAGCAGTGTGGCTCAGGTGTCCATCTGCGTGGCCTGTGGCGAAAGTGTCCTGGCCTCTGTGTGCTTCCTCTGGGTGCCACACACTTGGAAGCACAGAAAAGAAGCGGAAGTGTGGTCTGGGCTCCTGCAGGGCTGTGCCGTGCAGGACAGGCGGCCGGTGGCTGGCAGACCGTGCGCCAGGGAAGTCAGAGGCTCTGGTGAGTGGAGGGAGTGGGGCTGTGGCACCCAGCCCACCTGTGCCAGCGACAGTGCCCACTGCTGTGCCCCATCGTCCGACCGAATGCTCAGGGAGCCTTGCAGCAGATCCCCTGTGGCTGCTCCCCGATCCCAGTCTCGGACGAGCCGACTTTGTTGCACTGTTCGCACTTCCTGTCAGCACAGGGAGACGCCAGGTGGCCGGCGTGGTGTCTCTCGTTGGTCTCCGTCGCTGTCCACATCTCTCGTTTACATTTTCTTTCTTTTCTTCCGGAGAACAAGGCTTATGGAAGGCTTTCTTTTCCTTTTGTGACCAAATAACTGAGAACTGACTGGCAAAGTCCGTTCCAGAGCGTAGCTCACGGAGGAACCTGGCCTCCGCGTCCCCAGAACCAGGAGCGTGTGGTGGGAGCGGGAGCGGGAGCCCTGCCTGACCTCGGTCCTCTAGAGCGTCACCGAGCGTCACATCTGCTGCCGAAAACATTTCTGGTCAGGCTTTCTGGACTAAGTTTATGTCTTCTTTTTTTTCACTGTCTCATTCATCAAACTTTTATTAAGAGCCTCTTATGTCCGGGTGCTGTTCTAGGTGCTGGGTACAAGGAACAGACAAAGGTCGCTGCGTTTGTGGGGGTGCATTCCGTGCACAGGAAGTGCTGAGGTCTGTTAGGACGCGGTGCCGCGGGCAGGAGCAGGGCTGGGTAAGGGACGTTGCCGTGATCTCTCGGTGGCGGGGAGGCGTCCTTGGGAAGACGCGGGTTCAGGAGGGGCCTGCAGGCGAGAAAGCCAGGAAGCTGTCTGGAGGGGAGGGTCCGCAGGCAGCCGTGTGCCTGCTCATCTAAGGCTGTCTTTTCTCTTCCTCCACTATTCTTCGTTCTCTTCATTCCCAACGATCGAGAAGCTGAGTTAATACAGTAAACAGACATTATTCAAGCAAAGCATGATTGTCTTTACTGTGCAACCTAAGAGTTGAAAACAGCTAAATGGAAAGGTGTCATAGAATAATGCAGCTTCATATGGCAGAGGTAGTATAATCGATAATGTGATCATCTTGACAGTGTCAAGTGGTCACTAGACTTATCGTGGTGATCACCCCCTTAGGTTTATAAATGTTAAATAACTATGTTGTACACCTGAGACAAATATCTATTGACTATATATATTAAAATTTTTAATTGACTTTAGAGAGAGCGGAAGGGGGAGAGAGAGAGAGGAACATTAATGTGAGAGAGACATCAATCTGCTGCCTCCTGTACGCCCCCCTCCCCCACATTGGGAATCAAACCTGCAACCCAGGTGTGTGCCCTGACCGGGATCGAACCAGTGACCTTTTGGTTTCACGGGATGATGCTCAACCACTAAGCCACACAGGCTGGAGCTTATTAATTATATTTTAACAACAACAAAAATCAGGAGATAGCCCTGGCCAGTATGGCTCAGCGGTAGAGCATCAGCCGGCAGACCAAGGAGTCATGGGTTCAATTCTGGCCAAGGGCACATGCCTTGGTTTCATTCGGTCCCCAGCTCTGGTCGGGGTCTTGCAGAGGCAACCAATTGATGTGTCTCTTGCGTCGATGGTTCCCTCCCTCCCTCCTACTCTACCTGAAAATAAAAATGGAGGAAAGTATCCTCAGGTGAGGATTTAAAAAAAGAAAAATCAGGAGACAGCAGCATAAAAAAATAATGCATATACATTGATTGTGAGTTCAGCGTAGCATAAAACAGGACAAAAAGTCCCTGCCTTTGGAAATGACATTCACCTAAGAGTGCAGGAAAAATTCTTAAAACTGTGGCGGAAACTGACGTGTTCGTCACAGGGGTGTCAGCAGGAGAGAGAGCTGTGCTTACTGGGCAGGAGCCTGGGCGAGGCGGGACCTCCCGCTCCGGTCCACAGTACTGAGCGCCTGCACCGTGCCAGGCCCGCACCTGGGCGGCAGCGACGGCGAGACCTGGCTCCGGCCCCGAGGAAGCCTGCAGTCCGCTTTCCTTCCTGCCCGGACTCCTTTCTGTTGGTGCTGGCCCGGCTTCCATGCGGTGCCTCGACCCTCCAGCTTGCTTTCCTGACCTCGGCCCATCCTGCCAGTGAATCTGTCCCTGTCCCCACCCTCGTTCCCACAGCCCTCAGGAAAGGATTCAAAATAAGCTTTGTGACCGCTCTCACAGAAGTAGACACTGATCATTCCGCAACCTGCAACCTGCCGGGACGTTTTCTCCTCCCAGGGGAGCTGGCCTCCTCCGTTCCTCTCCTCCCTCTGCTCGCAGTGCTGGGGCGGTGGGCTCTGCAGGGAGCCTTGCTTGTCTGGAACAGCGCTGAGCCACCTCATGGGTTAGCTGTGCCCTGGAGCGAGGGCGGCCTTCAGGAAGGCCTCGGTGCTGTGCAGTACGGAGCAGGTGCAGTTAAGCACCTCGAATTAACTACATGTCCTCGCGTTGCTCTCATTCGCATTGAACCTGGCCTTGCCATTCCCCTCGCCGTTCCTGTTTATCGAGTCAGTACTAATCTTCTTCGTTAGAATAAGCTGCAGGAGAAAACAGTGCCGGCTCAGACCACTCTGGGCAGACAGCACAACTCCTAGTTTCTGACCTAGGAGTGTCTGAAAACTTAGTTAAGTGAAAATGAAAGTTGGAAGTGTGTTTATCATTTAATTAAATAATAAGAAACACATAATTGCTGACTCAAGTTTTAGACCCATACAGTATTTTGAGTAACAAAATCCTGCTAGAGAATTGATGATTATTAGTTGCTAATACAGTTCAGATTTTAAACTTGAGCACTAACGAAATGCCTTCTGCGATGATAGAGCTGTACGCAGTGTTCACGGCCTGTCCCTGGGCAAACGTCTGTCAAGAGTGTTAGGGGCTGTAGGAGGTACAAAGACGCCAAGACCAGGCCTTACCTGGTGAGCCTGGTGTGGGGCGCAGTGTGGGAGGAGCATGGACGAGGGTCGTTCTGACCACCAGTGCCAGGGCGCATGTGACTGCAGCTGGCCACACATCCTGCAGCACCCATGAGGGTGCTACTATCTGTCCACCACTGGCTACCTTGTGTCCAGGCCTCACTGCCCAAACCGGTGGGTAGGATCTGGCTAGGACTGAGAGTTTCACTAGTAAAGAATGGAGCCTGCATTTGGATTTGGGTCCCCTTCTGGGCCCGGTGGCCACTCTGCCAGGGCCATGGAGGCGCAGAGTGTGGGCTCCCGCTCTCAGGGGTCCTTCACTCGTTGCCCAGGCTACGTCCTGGTCTGACTCTCAGTTCCTCTCGGTGTTGTTACTGGGTTTTAGTCTCAACTTCCTTCTGGTTCTAACTGAAGCAGATAGTTCTGTTTAAACACATGTGGGCCAGAAACTGCCTATAAAGTTTCCTCTGTCCCATTTCTTCTTTCTTGACTCCCTTGAGCCTGGGCGTGTGAAGAGGAGGGTCCTCCCTGTTCCTCCAGAGCGTCCTGCACCCACAGACACAGGACCAGCGGTTGTCCGTCTGCACCCCCAAGTCTAGAAATTCACCTCATTGGGGGTAGTGTCTGTAATGTGTTTTTGTCTTGTAAGGATTTTTGTTGTGTGTGTGTTTTTTAAGAGTTTATATTTCACTTCTAATATAAGTGCTTAAGAAAAACTCTCTTTATATACTATAATCTCTTTGGCTTTTTTATTCACTTTGTCTAGAACAGACCAAAAAAACACATCAATTTAAAAGTGCTGGGATTGTAGACCATAGTTGGTGCTTGAATTTTTCCTTTATCCTGAAAGTTTGTAAACTTTTTCTGTATTTGGTTTAATCTAAACAGTTTCCCATATCGAACACTGATGTACAAGGAGTGACTAGAAGTCAAGAGAAACAGACCTGGTGGGAGAAAGCCTTGTACTCTCCTCCCCTTCCTGCGGCAGAGTGTGAAGGTAAGGAGACCCATGTTCCTCTTTCTGATTCACAGAGCACAGCGCGTGCCCTTGCTGTGAGGGTCAGTCCAGACAGTCACTGAGAGGTTTCACTGTGGCTCACGTTTGTCAGGTACTGGGGACACCGATGAATGAGAGCTGGTCCCTGCCTTTTTTTTTTATCCTCACCCGAGGACATTTTTGCATTTATTTTCAGGTAGAGCAGGAGGGAGAGAGGGGGCAAGAGAGAGAGAGAAACGTCAATGCCAGAGAGACACATCGATTGGCTGCCACCCACACAGCCCCATTGGGGCCGGGGACAGACTGCAACCGAGGCATGTGCCCTTAGCGGGAACTGAACCCGGGACTCTCTGGTCCGTAGGCCGACGCTCTAACCGCTGAGCCAGACTGGCCAGGGCTGGTCACTGCTCTTAAACTCCGCCCCAGCCTGGCGTGGGGAAGACGCGCCAACGCAGCCAGCAGTGCCGACTCAGATGAGTCCGTGCCGGCTCCCAGTGCTCTGTGGGGAGGCAGCAGACACGCGGAGCCCTCAGGAAGGCTCCCAGCAGGAAACTGGGGGAGGGCAGTGCCATGGAAAGAATGGGCTGCATAGAGGCCAGAGGGTCAAGGACACAGGGACCCAGTGGGCCAAGCTGGGTTGTAGCTGAGACCAGAGAGGCAGACAAGGAAGGAGCTTGTCAGAAGGTGTGGGAGCCCTGCTAAGTTAGGTAGCTGAACATGCAGGAAGGGGAGGCCATTTAAAGGATTTCAGCCCTGGCTGATTTGGCTCAGCAGTTAGAGCGTTGGCCATGGACCAGTGAGTTGTAGATTCGATTCCGGTCAAGGGCATGTACCTCAGTTGTGGGTTGTCCTGGCCCTGGTCAGGGTCACGTGGGAGGCAGCCAGGCGGTGTATCTCTCTCACATTGATGTTTCTCTCTTGCTTCCTCCCTCCCACTGTATCTGAAGATAAATAGAAAAAAATAAGTAAAAGATTCCAGAGGTGTCAGGTGTGTTTAGAGCTGTTGCAGCAGTGGAGTGGAGGCGATAGGAAACCTGCCGGCACCTGTGGTCCACAGGCTCTTGCGGGGTCCGGGAGCGACAGCAAGGCTGGCCTGAGGCCTGGGGTCGGCAGGCTCTTGCAGGGTCCGGGAGCGACAGCAAGGCTGGCCTGAGGCCTGGGGGTCCGCAGGCTCTTGCAGGGTCCGGGAGCGACAGCAAGGCTGGCCTGAGGCCTGGGGTCGGCAGGCTCTTGCCAGGGTCTGGGAGCGACAGCAAGGCTGGCCTGAGGCCTGGGGTCCGCAGGCTCTTGCAGGGTCCGGGAGCGACAGCAAGGCTGGCCTGAGGCCTGGGGGTCGGCAGGAGAGAAGAGCCTCAAGAGGCTCTGGAGAGGACGCCAGAGTTTGTGAGTGAGTTTCTGTGCAGACTGAACAGCAAGGGGAGCAGGGGGAGTCCAGGGAGCGAGGGAGCTGGGGCCAGAGGTTTGATGGACATGATTATCGTCTGTGAGCCTCCTCGGGATACACATCCAGAAGCTATAAAATACCTTGATCCAAAATTCTGGGAGAAGTGGGCACTAAGGAGGCTCCTGAATGGGTCAGTGCCAAGAGGCTGAGCTTGTCCGCTTGCCACGTGTCCGCCTGTCAGCCCTGCAGGGCACGTCAGTCATTTGCCAGTATTTCCATGTTCAGTCTTGTCTCCTCAGCTCATTGTGGCTAGCGTGGCCGCAGTGCCGCCCTTCACAGCCCAGGGTCTCCCTGCCCGGTGCCCGGCGCCTGCACTGGCCTTGCTCCGCAGCCGGCCCTTTGCCGGCGGGGCGGCCGGACTGTGCTTGTCTCTGTTCCGCGGCCTCACAAGTGGCTTCCCAGCCCCGCCTTCCTCTTTCCCGAAGGCGTGCTGGGGCAGAAGAGGGGCACAGAACTGGGGTTCTGTTTTTAGCATCTTTGTTTATTTAACAGCATTTAGCTAATCTCTGGGCTGCTCTTGAACATTTACAAGGTGCCTCAGTATCTTTCCTGTTACGTAACTCCCACAAAGCCTTTGCGGTGTCCCCACTCGCTTTCCCGTGTGGGGAGGTGGGGAAGGCAGTTCTCAGAGCTGGTCATGTGCCAGAGCCGTGCACCAGCCGTTAGGTGGGGCCCGAGTGCAGCCTGCCTTCTCGTGGTCCAGGGTTCCGCCGTCCGCGGCAGCCTTCTACGCTCGGTGTCCAGGGCCAGACCTGCCCTGACTCATGTCTGGCCTGGGTGGGTGTTAAGTCCCGGGCACAGTTAACAGGAATCCGGGTAGGCAGGGCCAGAGCCCAGAGCAGTGCAGCCAGGCCTCCCGGGAAGAGCCGAGCGGGGAGAGGGCTGGGCAGCAGGCCGGGCCTGGGAGTGGGGAGAGACCAGCACCTGTGAGGCCCGGGATGGCTCTCGGACCCCCGGTTCCTGCTTTGCTGGTGTGCCCCGAACAGTCTTGGCCGTCCCGGTCCAGTTTCCTGTCGCTAGTAAGGAATCCAGTTCCAGCTCAGCTCTAGTCCTTGGTGTCTCCGTGGTCCCTTGGTCGGTGCTGTGAGTGACTGTCAGCGCAGTGTTTCCTTTGTCGTGAAGTGGCATGCAGAGAAACTCTCCGCGGATAAACAGTGGTAGCCAGGTTGTTGAATGACCTTTAACTCCCAAGTGTGAGTTGAATCCCTGCACGGTTGCCTGCAGTGGCGTTTAGAAGCACCCTTCTTTCCCCTTGGGGAGTGGGGCTGTGATTCCAGGAGGCTGGCCTGTCACCCTCTCAGTTCCTGAACATTCTAGCGTTACCACTGGCTAATGACAAGCACGCGCCTCTGAGCCAGGGAGCGCTCAGCCTCCTGCGAAGGAGGGGATTGGCCCATTACAGTGAGGCAGGGAGCGCTCAGCCTCCTGCGAAGGAGGGGATTGGCCCATTACAGTGAGGCAGGGAGCGCTCAGCCTCCTGCGAAGGAGGGGATTGGCCCATTACAGTGAGGCAGGGAGCACTCAGCCTCCTGCGAAGGAGGGGATTGGCCCATTACAGTGAGCCAGGGAGCGCTCAGCTTCCTGCGAAGGAGGGGATTGGCCCATTACAGTGAGCCAGGGAGCGCTCAGCTTCCTGCGAAGGAGGGGATTGGCCCATTACAGTGAGCCAGGGAGCGCTCAGCCTCCTGCGAAGGAGGGGATTGGCCCATTACAGTGAGCCAGGGAGCGCTCAGCCTCCTGCGAAGGAGGGGATTGGCCCATTACAGTGAGGCAGGGAGCGCTCAGCCTCCTGCGAAGGAGGAGATTGGCCCATTACAGTGAGGCAGGGAGCGCTCAGCCTCCTGCGAAGGAGGGGATTGGCCCATTACAGTGAGGCAGGGAGCGCTCGGCCTCCTGCGAAGGAGGGGATTGGCCCATTTACAGTGAGGCAGTAGCGGCTCTGCAGAGGCAGCTTGTCCCGGCGCCCAGAGCAGCTCACCTGCACGCTGCCACCTGCCGGCCTTGCTGTGTGTTCACAGACATTCCGTTGGGCAAACTCCTCTTGCCTGCCTGCCTGTGCTGGGCACTGTTCCCGGCACTGGGGATGCAGAGGCACACAGACCAGGTCCCTGCCCTCTTGCTTCACTGACATTTGCACAGGGATCTGAAGGAACCAGGACCAGCCCTGGGAGAGCTGAAGCTACCTGCAGGGGAGGAGCCAGGCAGAAGCCCTGGCTGGAGCAGGAGTGCGTCTGCTGTGCCCCACCGGGGAGCCGTGCGGGGGTGCAGCGAGGGTGGGTCAGCCAGGCAGACTGCACGGCGGGTGATCTCCAGGGTCAGGCACTCGACTTGGAACTCGTTGGCAGCGTATGCGTTATTTTAGCCTTAAAGGAGAGCCCTTAGGAAGCCAGTGTAGATGATAGTTAAGGGCTCAGGAGACCGAACTGGGTGGGAATCCAGTGCCTCTGTTACTAGCTGCTGGGCCCTAGGCAATGACCAGCTCTCTCTATGCCTCTGTGGTCTGTATTTGTAAGAAGAGGGCGAGCTGACCCCCCCTGAGAGGCTAGCTGTGAAGGATGAGGTGCCTAGGACAGGCCTGGCACAGAGCCATAACCCAGACATGGCGGCTGTCAGTGTGAGGGTCAGTGTGAGGGGCGAGCAGACGCTGACAGCGATGAACAGTTTTTGTTCTGGGGCATCACGACCTCCTCTTGTGCACAGAGAATTCCCAAAGCAGAAGAGAAAGGGAAGGGGTGGGGCAGCGTGGGTCCCGCGTGTGCTCTGGGTGTGTCCTAGTCAGGGACATGGCTCCCCCCTCCCCCACCAGAAGTGCTGACCCCGTGGGTGGGGCGTGGGGAGATGGGCGCTTGGCCGGGCCAGCCCCGGGAAAGACGGCTGCCTGGAGGGGTGAGCAGGGGTGCCTGCCCCAGCAGCCTGCGAGGTGCCCTTCCCAGCTGCTCTAAAGCAGCCAGTCCCAAGCCCAGGACTTGGTTCGGAGCACTCGTGGGGGATTCGCCGTGTGCAGCCGGTGCCTGGGCCGCACACCGTGTCTTCCGACGTGCCCCTGTGTTTGAGCTGAGGGAGCTGGGCTCAGGGAGGGAGGGTCGGTCAGTTTGCCACGTTCCATCACAAGTAGCAAAACCAGGAATCAATGGTCGTCTGTCTGTCGGGGGCCTGGTTGTTTTCAGGAACCTAAACTAATAGCTCTGAGGACCTGGAGCGGCTGGAGAGAGCTGCAGTCGTGGCCAGCACAGTGCGGCCAGCGCAGCCTTGGTGAGAGGCCAGGCGGGCCCAGACGCCTTCCGTGCGCAGGGGCCCTGCCCGATGGGGGCGGCACAGCCCTCACCAGGGGCAGCACCCATCTCAGTGAGCACCTAGGACTCAGATGCTGGGGTGTTTACACAGTGATGTCAGGAACGGTCACCCCAGGCCTGCCCCAGGCCTCCTCACTCCTCTCTGCGTCTCCTCCAGCCGCCTGCTCCCTAGTCGGGTGCAGACCAGCGGGCCTCAGCCCCGGCTGTGCATCAGAACTGCCCGGGGGAACTCAACTATGTAGCTTTAAAATGAAAATAAATAAATATAGATATAAAACACTGGGGGAGGGGGCTTACCTGGGAGCTTCTCAGAAAATGCCAATACCTAGACTCTTCCCCAGACCAGTTCAGTTAGACTGTCGTAGGGGGCCTGGGCCTCAGACTCTGCTCCGTTCCCGAGGTGGTTTGAATGTGCACCCCGAGTGGAGAGCCCCTGGACGCCTGATTGGATCCCTCTCATTTCAGTGTCTAGTTCCTCCTTCTTCCCCTCCTGCGAGCCGCTTACCCAGGCACAGCACTGGCCTCAGCCTCCGCCCTCGCCCACGGCGGAGCGCTTACTCGGCGTGTCGAGCTGCGGAGGGACAGACGGGGATGCCGCCCTGCTTGCTGTGTTTGCTCACTGCACTTCCTGCTGTCTGAGTCCCCGTGTCCATCTGTCACACACACGTGGTCCATCGTCTGTCTGCCTCCGTGCAGCGTACACTCTCTCAAGCTCAGGCCTTGCTGGTCTCTTACCCTGTGTTCCCAGGGCGTACAGGCCCACCTCGGAGGCATTGCGGGTGCGGTTCCAGCCACCGCTGTGAAGGAAGTGTCCCAGTGAAGTGAGGCATGATCCTTTTGCTGGTGCAGGGCCTTGCCTTCAAAAACATTTTCAAAGTAAATCTGTGAACCCCAGTGAAACGAGCCTGGCTCTGTGTATTGGTGGAGGGAATATGTCCTGGTAGGATGACAGGCAGAGACGGTTATACTGATTTGTTTTTTTTAAAAACTCAGTCTATTAAAAGAATTTTTAAATTGGCCTAGTGTTTTCTCATCCACCCCTGGCTGGCTACTCAGTGACGACTTGGTCTCCCAGGGCTGGCAGCCTGAGCGATCTGACTTGCAGCAGAAGATGAAGCACGAATGTACGTTTCGTATCTGTGTCTTAATGGAATCTCCCTTCCCTTTCTCCCTCTCCATCCAAAATGGTTAAGAGTGTCATACAAAGGCCAAGGGGCAGGATGGTGTAGAAGAGCGTCCCGATGCTAGAGACACGCCCTGTAATGGAGAGCGTCCGTTAGATTTTAATAGGGTAAGTGGACTGTCCTGCTCCTTACTTCAACTCCCGAGTGGCGACCCCTGTCACTGAAGCTAAACCTGGCGTCCTTGAGCTGCCCCTTCCCCTCCCCTGCTGAGTCCCTGAGCTCTGAGGATGTGACTCCTCCTCTGCGGCCCTTCGCCTGGTCCACGCCGCCTCCCCCCAAGCGCTTAGGCTTCCCGCGTCCCCCTCTCCCTCCAGCTGTCCCCCTGCCGCCAGAGGGGGTCTCCGGATCCCGCCCGAGCCTTTTCCTCCCTGCGGCGTGCTCTCCCGGGCAGCACAGGGAGCCCTTCCCGCGCCTCCCGCGCTGCACCGCACCTCCTGCAGCGGCGCCGGCCTGCCAGCTCCAGAGGGCGGCGGGCACAGGGCGGGGCCTGCGAGCAGCCAGGCCTGGCACAGGCAGGCAGGCAGGCAGGCCAATGAATCGAAGCAAACGTCTTTCTGTTCTGTCAGTGTCAGTCGAGTGCTGTGACAGTGTTCTCCCAAAGTGCCCGGTAGGACCCCTGCTCGTCCCAGGTCCATACCCTGCTGCCGGGGCCCGCGGTCCCTCCCCTCCGTGAATGCACCCCTTTCTCCCTCCAGCTTTGAGCCCAGGCCTCCATGCTGGTCTCCCTGTCTCACTTCCACACGCAGTCTGTGTGCCAGTCCTCGCCACCCCCCTCAGCCATTTCAGATCCTCCCACCCTCCCGTCTCCATCGCTCCCTGCGGCCCCGTCCCTCCTGGACAGCTGCAGGGGCTTCCCTGGTCTTCCTCCCGCTTGCTGCCCCCGTTCAGCCTTCTCTCCACACAGCACGCAGATGACCGCACAGGTCTGACCGACTGCCCGTAGTCCTCCCAACAAGCCCGCAAGGTAGGTACTGCTGTGCCATGTGCAGGAGAGGGAACTGAGGCACATGAAGTTCCGAACTGTGTCCTGGTCGCTCCGCTGCAGACTGAGTGCCGCCCGCAGCGGGTGAGCCCTGTAGCCCCTGGCTCAGGACGCTTGCTCCCGTAGCCAGTGTCCATCGCCTTCTCAGACAAACTCAGACTCCCTGCCACGCACCCCGAGGCCTGTGCGTCCTGTGCCAGGTTACTGTGGCAGGTGGGGGTTTTGCTACTTACTGCGACTGGGGAGGATGTTGCTAGTTACTATGACTGGGACCTTTGCTAGTTTTTATGTCGGGTTGTTGCTAGTTACTGTGACTGGGGCACTTTGCTAATTGTGAATAGGGGTATTGCTGGTTACTTTGACGGGGGATCTTGTTAGTCACTGTGACTGGGGGGATGTTGCTAGTTACTATGATGGGTTGTTGCTAGTCAATATGACTAGAAAGGATGTTGCTAGTTACTGTATCTAGAGGGGCTTGGCTAGTTTTTATGAGTGAAGGGTGTTGGTAGTTACTATGATGAAGGGGGCTTGCTAATTATTATCAGTGGGGTGTGTTGCTAGTTACTGTGACTAGGAGGCTTGTTAGTTATGAGTGGGGGATGTTGCTAGTTACTATGACTGGTGGGGCTTTGCTAGTTATTGTGATTGGGGGGGTGTTGCTAGTTACCGTGACAGGGTTTTTCCTAATCACTTTGGGTTTCCAGTCACTTTGGGGTGGGGAAGCATTACTGGGTACTCTGGGGGAGGGTAGTGTCATTTCCTGTGACGGAGGGAGTGTGCCAGCGACTGGCTGGGGAAGGGTCACCACTTGCATTTGATGTCTTGGGGGCCGAGATACTGGCCGCCTGGTGTGTGGAGACAGCTCCGCACAAGAGCTTTCCCTGTGAAGCACCAGAGACTGATAGAGCCCCGGTTAGAAGCACAGCCCAAGGTCGCAGGTTAGCTCTGGCTGTGACCTTGGTTCCGCTTGCTTCTCAGCCTTCAGGTGAGGACGCCTCTCCTCAGAGAACTGCCTTCCCTGGGACTCCTCCTGTCTGAAGTGCCCCCCGGGCGTCACCGGTCAGTCTCCCACACTCCAGCAGTGTGCGGTTTTGTTGGTTGGTTTGTGGTCTCCCCTGTGGACGGGAGCCATGGGAGGTGTGGCACCTGTGGCGTCCCCGGGCCCAGCCCTGTGCCTGCCCTGGATCAGGGAGGAGAGGTTCTTTGCTCTCAGGCAGTGAAACCCTTCATGTTTTTAACTCCCCACAGGAAGACATCAGTGATTTGTGTGTAGTCATGTAGCCCTTTGGGAAAGTCTGGCTTTTGATCTGTCGAAACATGTTCCTTCCTCTTAGGTGTCTTCTGTCTATGAAGCGAGGTGCACAGGAGAGAGAAGCCCTGGAGCGGAACCGAGGGGCTCCCGCAGGAAGCTGTACCCCCGCACCAGCTCTGGCTCGGAGGACGCGGGCTCGGACGACCCCGGCGAGTGGGCCGGCCCCAGCGAAGAGGACCTCTTCTCTCGAACTCACCTCTAGCCCTGAGAGCAGCACACATTCTTGCTTAAAAACAAAATGTGATGGGAAATCGCCCTTTGTGAGGCCTTTAATCTAAAGCGACAACTTAGGTTCTTCTCAAATAACTGAGTCGGGTCAGTGATTACCTTTCTCTTCTTGCTTATTTTAGAGTTGAGGACAGCTGTCCTGTTGGAGATTTTTTTTCCAAGCTGTTAAATTCTTGGCTATTTGAAATAGACTAGATTGTGTTGTCAAATCAAGAATGGGCCTGCATGTGCTTGTCCCGGAAGTAGCCCTGCTCCTGCATCTCCCTGCGGGCACTCCCCTCGACTGCAGCCAGGTCACTGTCCCCTCCTTAGCCTCGCGGTGGCTGCCACTTTCGCTCTCTGGAGACTCGAGATCTGGACCGCGTAGGCTTTATTCTGAGGACTGGGATAGAGACACGCCCCCCGCAGTGGATCAGCGCCTCCTGAAGGCGAGAGGGAGGCGTGGGCGACGGCACAGCCTCCACTCAGTCAGATCTCACGTACGTCGGAGTAGCAGCCACAGGGCGTGCTTTAGAGACTTACAAGTACTGTTTTCTCTCTTAGGGTTTCCCCCAAAGGATCACGGAGGGTACTAGGGTCTGTGACCTTACTGCTAATTGCAGAAGCCAAGGATTTGGGTGTGGGAGTGTGTGAGGCGCAGCGGGGTGAGGCACCTGGCCTGTTCCTTGCTGTCACAGTAGTGACACCAGGTCACCTTCCAGGGTCTTCGTGCCAGTCTGACAATGTTCGGTGAGGGTCTTAGTTGCAAATTACGATTTTCTCAGAACTTACATTGAATCGAAACCCCTAGAACTCAAACTCGTAAACATTTGACATGCGGTAAAGGCTACCCCATCGCCTGAAGAAACCTTGGCGGCTGCAGCTGGCTGCTCTCGTGGCTGTGACTTTGTGTGGCGTAGCTCTCCTTCGTGTTTGAGAGAATGTCCTGGCACGTTCCGTGTGCGGCGGGTTGGGTCGGGCAGAGGACCGGTCTCCCCCATCCCTGGGTCATTGCCTCCTGGGCCTCCTTTCCCTCCTCCGAGGGACCCAGGCCCTAGCTCACGGGGACCTGTGCCACAGGCGGAAGTTAGGAGGAGCAATGTTTGCAAAACCTAAACATTTAAAATTGTTTTTCTTTTTTAACCAACTCATTATTTAAAGAAAAAACTAATGTGTGAAATCAGTTCAGCATGTCTGTAACATCAGGAACGGCAGGAAAGTCTAACGTAGACAAGACGGCTTCACCACTGATGTTGGCAGGGAGCTGAACTGGCTGAGAAATAGATGATTTGCTTTGAGTGTTTGGTTTTGTTGCCTTTTTCTTAGTTGATGACACAGAAAACTCCCCCTAAGGCTGTGGCGTCGTCCTCCCAGCACTGTGCGCTCAAAGAGACCCAAGGGCCGGGTCTGGTCTCAGCGCGGCGGGGTCTGTCCGATACAGCATGTCTTCTGACACTTTAAAGTGTGTGTGCGCGTGCGTGTGTGCGTGTGTGCGTGTGCGTGTATGCTAGCGCGTGCACGCAGGCGAGAACGGTTTTACGTTGCTGTTATTTATTTACAGATTTTATAAGGTTTTATGTATTTTTCTTTCTTCTGGAGCTTCCTAAAATTCATTAGCATCTGCACTGAAATATAATTTAACAGCAAAGGCAAAAAAGAATTGGATGTTGTAAATTCCTAAAATCACTACGATGACGATTGTCCTAGAAATCGTTGCTTATGTCGCAGAGACCAAATACATATATTTCAGATACCACCTTCAGCTCAGATGACTGTGGACAGCTGCTTCTGATCAGGAGCCAGCTCCAAGGGCAGAGGTGCGACTCCCTCTCCGCGCGGGAGAGGACCGCACGTCCGCGGGTGGGGTGGCCCACAGGTGGGCAAGGGGATAGCAGATTATGCATCGGTTTGTTTTCATGGCTAAGTGGCTGGAACCCAGAGGCTTTCGGCAACAGACTTGAGAGTGTGGTTTTAGTTCTGTGAATGGATGATCACGAAGACAAAGCATCTTTAAAAAGTTGGCAAAACGCTGAGACGCACTGTGGCATGAAGCGCGTTGCATTCTGTAGCACTGAGGTGTCCGTCTCCATTCCCGGCTGAGGTTTTTTTCTGTGGTTGTATTGTTCTGATTTCACATACACCAGAGTAACTGATTTTTGTTTTCTTGTGGAGTTAACACCAAAATAAAAAATTGAAAAAACAGTTGGTTTTCTTTATTTATTATAGTAAAGACCCCCCTTAATTATCCATATCCGTGGAAGAGAGAAAGTGCCCTGGTCACAGCATTCCAAGGGAAGGTCATCCCTTCCCACAGGCGGAGGCCTGCTTTGCTGGAGGAGAAAGTAGGTTGGGCCTGCTGAGAGGCCTCCCCTCCCCTCCCCCACCCTCCCCCAACCACCACCCCAGTCTGGCAGAGCACACAGGATTTTGTCCCTAGGAGGAAGACAAAGCGTAGTCTTTTTGTTCTGGAAAAAATATCTGTGTATACTATATTAACATGACAATGTTCATTGTAAAAAAGAAGCCAATGATTGTTTTTTTATTGATTTTAGAGAGAGAGAGAGGGAGGGGAAGAGAGAAACATCGATTTTTGTTGTTCCACTTACTTCTGCATTCAGTAGTTGATTCTTATATGTGCCCTGACCAGGGATTGAACCTGCAGCCTTGGTGTATGGGGACAGCACACCAAGTGAGCCACCTGGCCAGGGCCTGCACCAATGTGTTTTTATTTTTTCAATCCTCACTCGAGGATAAGTTTTCACTTATCTTCAGTTAGATTGTGAGGGAGGGAGGGAGAGGGAGAAACATCGACGTGAGAGACACACATTGACTACTTTCCTCCCACATGGCCGCAGCCAGGGCTGGGGACCAAGCCATAACCGAGGTACATGCCCTTGACCGGAATTGAACCCGCGACTCTGTGGGCCGGTGTTCTAACCGCTGAGCCCAACCTGCCAGGGCTGAACCAATGTATTTTTAGACATATAAAGGAAGACTCGTCTTTACGCCCATCATTCTGAGTGGTAGCCTCTGACATTGTGACGGCCGAATGCACGTGTGGAGGTACGTGCACAAGGGGAGATGCGCCCTGGAGGCTCTGCAGCTTCACAAGTAGGTCCGGGTCGTCTTCCCGGCCGCGTCCCAGACCTGGTGGCTCTGTAGCTGGGCTCCGCTGAGGCTCACGGGCTCGGCTCACAGGCTGGCCACGAGGGGCGTCGTCTCCTCGGCGTCCTGAGCGTCCTTTCCACGGCCGCCTTGCACAGAGCCGCTCCCGAGGGAGGTGCCAGCCTTCGCAGTGCCCGCTGCTCCGTGCCAGTGCCGCCAACGTGCTGCGGAGCTGGAGTCCGGTAGGACGCCCTTGCTCTCACCGTCCGCGAGCTGGTACTTTGCTTACTTGAGGCAAGTGCTTTTCCCCAGGTTCGCACGTGCCTTTCTGGGCACGGGAGAGGCGGGCCCTCGACAGCATTTAAATTGTGTTCTGTCCGTTTTTCACTTGTGGTTTCTGCCACGTGTAGGCATGTCTTCCGGTGCTGTTTCCATCTCTAAGAGGAAGGAAATAGTCTCCCATGTTTCTCTAGAACCCGTGTGCTTCATGCCGAGCTTGTCTTTGAAGCATGTGTACTGTCTACGGGAAGCGAGGCTGAAGGATTCAGCTCCATCCTCCCCAGCTCGCCGCCAGCCACCAGCACCCGTTTGTAAACCCTGCCCACCCTGCCGGGTGGCAGCTGCAGGGCTCGTGCAGTGCGAGCTCGGCCCGGCTCATGCTGGCCTTGGGACCGGAAGCGAGTTAGAGCAGGTCAAGGGCGAAACGCGGCGCCTCCTGCCTTCAGCCCTGTGTGTGAGCTGCTCACTGAGCCTCTGTGGGCACTGGTCCAGCATCTGGGTGCGACCGACGACATCCTCGGTATGACGCCGCCCTCCTAGAGGACCGCGGGGCATTGCTGCCACAGGGAGGCCCTGCACAGGGGCCACAGGTCTTCCGACAGGAGGTCCTTTCCTGTGGGCTTGCCTCCTCGCTGGCTGTGTGCCGGTGGCCCTGCGGACACGGGCTCCCCGAGGCGGGGCCCTTCGGTGCTGTCAGCACGATCACTGCACCCGGGCCTCACCTGCGAGAGCAGGGCGGCTGCCCATGCCAGCCATGCAGGACGGCTGCCCACGCCAGCCACGCAGGAACCGCACTCGGGCCGCTCTGGCCCCAGGGATTCTGATGTCACAGCGAAGTGCTCTTGACCAACCAAGGGCTGTCAAGGCCTCTCTCAAGATGAGACATCTCACCCTGGCCAGTTTGGCTCAGCAGTTAGAGCGTCGGCCTGCGGTCTAGAGAGACCCGGGTTCGGTTCCCGCTATGGGCACTTATTTTGGTTGCAGTTTGTCCCCGGCCCGTGGCAGCCACTCGATGTGTCCCTTTCATGTCAATGTTTCTCTCTCTCTCTCTCTCTCTCTCCCCCCCCCCCCACTCTGTCTGAACAAAATATCGAGAAATGTCCTCGGGTTAAAAAAAAAAAGATGAGGCATCTCAAGTGCTCAGGCCACCGTGGTTAGGGTCAGTGTTGCTGCCTCTGTCACTGCAGAAGCCGCCCGCAGGCTCTGGGCACGTGGGCACCGCAGCGGTGCTGGTGCCCGGAAGGCCCGGGTCTGCGCAGCAGTCCAGGAACGGAAAGGAGGGCCCAGCCCCGGCTGCTCTGGAAAGCAGCCAGGCAGACGGCATCACAGGCTGGCCTCTGTTGCGAGCACAGACCAGGAAATGCCACCAGCCTTGCGTCACTGGGGTGGGTCACTGGTCACACTAGCAGGGACCGTTGCCTCACTTGACCCAACCAGCAATGACTGGTAACGACAGCCGCACCTAACATTGGGACAGTGTCAGCGGTGTCTGTGCCAGTAGTCGTCCCAGCCGACACGGCTCCGCTGCCCTGCATCATGCCATGTTTACAGCCTCTGAGGCAGGTGCAGGTACCCACTTCACAGATGGGACAGCTGAGGCACCGTGAGACGTTAGGCACGTGCTAGTCTCCCACCTAGTGACTGGGGCAGCCAGGATCTGAACTGGGCACCAGAACTATCGAGCCCAGTGGACACTCCCAAGCCTCGATCTTGCCCAAGTCCCACTCACCTGAAAAGTGTGTAGGGCTGTTGGGCACTGCTGCAAAGGTGGTTCCTAGTCATCGTGAGCCGTGTGTGGTAAGCGTGTCATTTACAGGAGTCCAGGCTGAGTCAGGATGCCTGGGTACAGATCTGGCCCTGCCACCCTCGCCCTGTGCTCCTAGGCCAGGCCCTTCGCCCCAGGCCTGGTACCCTTGGGCATAAACGGGATCCCAGCAGGACCTCGCCCAGGGTTGGCTGTACCTGCAGACATGAGTGTGCGAGCCCAGGAGATGTCCTGTCCTCCCTGGGGTTCCTGGACGGAGAGAGCACAGCGGAAGCGTAGAGGAGAAGTTGCCACACCCAGTGCAGTAACTCGAGAAAATCACATCTGCAGGCTTCCCCTCACTTCCTCCTTCCCCTCCCCTCCCCGTGGTACAAAGGCCCTTGTCTGGGGTTAGGTCCTGCAGGGGCCTACGCCTCTGGGTGCTGCCCACGGTCACGTGGCCCTCGTGGCTGGCTCAGTCCGACCCTCTCCCTAAAGTGAGTGCACACTGTCCCTCCTGGTGCTGGCCAGGCCCGAGGGCAGAGGCCAGGGACAGCAGCAGGACCCTGTGTGCCCATCAGAGCCAAGCCCTGTGGCATGAGGTCCCTGGCCCTGCAGTGAGGGGCAGGCTGGAGCCTGGCCACCTGTGTCTTCCCTGGGGGTGGGCAAGGGGCCTGCTGCAGCTCAGACGCTGGGCTTGCCACTTAAGGTCACAGTCCAGGGCATCATCTGGGGACCCCGGGGCTGGGGAAGCCCGTTTAGGGGTGTGGAAGGCCCCACCCTCTGTCCTGCCACCCCGACAGGCCCTGGCTTCCCTGAGCCCCAGCCTACAGTCCGATGGGGACGATGCTCCCCATGCCCCCGCCAGATGGAGGGGCTACACTGAATGCCAGCCCTCCAAGCCCAGCATGCGTGCTGGAAGCTAGGGGGCAGGGCTGCCCAGAGCTCGGCATTCCTCCAGCCTCTTGCCCACGGGGCAATGCCTCCCGCACCAGCTGTCACCTGACTTGGGCACTTGCTCCCTGGCTGAAACGGGCACCCCCCTGCTCACTCTCAGGGCTAGGCAGGCCGCCGAGTGATAGGCAGTTAAGCTTCCCCTCCTGACCCGATGAGGACAAGCTCTCAAGTGCACCTTGCCCTCCCCTCCCTGCCACGCCCCTGCCCGTCCTCACCCATCCCCACATCCCGGGGCAGGTGGAGAAGGCTGGCTGGGCCCTGGGTCCGGCCCCCACACCAGGCGCTCTTGCTCCGACCCAGCTGCCGTGGCCAGGGCATATCTGCACGTGCCCGCCGCCGCGGGTCCTTCCCGAGCACGGGGGTGTCCACTGCAGAGGCTCACTCTCTGGGAAGGTGCCAGGGGGCTGGCGCAGGGTCGCCCACCCACAGTGACTGCACGCCTGCTGTTGGCAAGTCACTCCCAAGGCCGGGGTGGCCGCCACTCCACTGTGCCTTCCCCTCCACCTTCCGACTTTGCACAGAGGAACCGGCGCCGCCCGCTGAGCTGTGAGCCCAGGTGCCCCTAGGGCTCAGGGTCCTGCCTGGGGCTGCAGGCGGGAGCCCAGCCCCCCCCCCCCCCCAGCTGAAGCAGAGCCGCCTGGAAAGGAGCCACGAACCCCAGGCTCACGGGGCCTCTAGCAACCTTCCGGCTTGACTCGGTTCCTCTTCTCCAGCACAGGCCTGGGCACCAGCTGTGTGCTCAGGACACAGTTCCTGCCGGGTCCAGTGTCAGGCACGACCACGCGTCCCCAGAGCCTGCAAGCTGCAAGCCCGCGATAACAGCTGCCCCTGGACTCAGTGGTCTCAGGCCCTGGCCACCGGACGTGGGGTGTTGGGGGAACCTGTGCACAGACCTGGGAACTGCTTACAGAGGTCAGGGACCCCATGTAGTGGCAGACCCTGGCTCTTAGGTACAGCTCTGCCCTGTGCTGCTCTTGGCCCCCAAAAAACTGCTCTGGTCACCCCCACACACACAGTAACCCGCACCTGTCTCGATGCCCCACCCTTGGGAGTCTGTATTTGCCTGCAGTTGGTCTTGCCGGCGGCATC